CATCACAATTTTCAATATAAATGTCAAGATAGTACTACTGTATGGAGAGGAAACTTGCAGGACTACAAAATCATCGTCCAAAAGATACAAGTATTCATTAACAGTTGTCTACACAAAGTACTTCGGATTCGTTGGCCAGAACACCATCAGCAACAACCTATTGTGGGAAAGAAAAAGCCAGATTCCAGTGGAGGAAGAAATCAGGAGGAGGTGCTGGAAGTGGATAGGATACACATTGAGGAAAGTATATGACTGCGTCACAAGACAAGCCCTCACTTGAAACCCTCAAGGTTAAAGGAAAAGAGGGAGGCCAAGGAACACATTACATCGAAAAATGGAGAAAGACATGAGAAGCATGAACAAAAATCTGGCGGAAATGGGAAGAGGCCCAGGTCAAAGTAGGTTGGAGAATACTGGTCGGCTGTCTATGATCCATTAGGGGGAACAGTAATTCATTACAAACAGTAAATAGTTATAACTACTTTTAAACAATACTTTTTGTCATAAATTGATATTAATTACGTAACTATTGGGAATTAAGGAACATTAGATGATTATTCAGTTCTAGTTGATAACTCTACATCTCGAAAATGCATAAATATCAGTCAGTGCACAATGCATCAAAAATATACGACCATCACGTCAACGAGTGACAATAATAAATCCACTAAAGTTGGATATTTAAATGATTTAAGGAAAATCTTACTAACGTTTTTCGTCTGTAAATTTTTTATTTCAAGATAAAAAGAAGGAAAACGATTAGTAGAATATAACAATGATAGGTTGACGCTCTAGACAATCAGTTAGATAGTCACACAGGTAACGGATACATATAAAAATATCTATATGGTTAGGCGTATTATAGTGCAACACAACATGCACCAACCAAATCACTCTTGATGGAGATGCTTTGGAGGACGTTAACACCTTTACATATCTGGGCAGCATCATCGACAATAAAGGTGGATCCGATGCAGATGTGAGGGCACGGATTGGAAGAGAAAGAGCTGCATTTCTACAGTTGAAAAATATCTGCAACTCCAAACAACTTTCAACCAAAACCAAAATCAGGATATTCAATACAAATATCAAGGCAGTTCTACTGTATGGAGCGGAAACATGGAGAACTACGAAAGCCATCATCCAGAAGATACAAGTGTTTATTAACAGCTGTCTTCGCAAAATACTTCGGATTCGTTGGCCAGACACCATCAGCAACAACGAACTGTGGGAGAAAACAAACCAGATTCCAGTGGAGGAGGAAATCAGGAAGAAGTGGTGGAAGTGGATAGGACACACATGACGAAAAGCACCTAACTGCGTCACAAGACAAGCCCTCACATGGAACCCTCAAGGCAAAAGGAAAAGAGGAAGGCCAACTGAACACATTACGTCGAGAAATAGAGAAAGATATGAGAGGAATGAAGAAAAATTGGATAGAACTGGAAAGGGAAGCCCAGGACTGAGTTGGTTGGAGAAAACTGGTGGGCGGCCTATGTTCCGTTTGGGGGTAACAGGCGTAAGTAAGTAAGTGTTATAGTGCAACACAACATGTACCAACCAAATCACTCTTGATGGAGATGCCCTGGAGGACGTTAACACCTTTACATATCTTGGCAGTATCATCGATACACTTCTGTAAAGCAATGAAATCAAGCTTGTTGTTGTTGTTTGAATTAAGTGAACATCTTGCATAACTCATCTCTTTTAATATATAATAAACACTGATTAAAAAAAAAGGTACACAGTTTAAACTAATCATACTCACTTTGATGACATCATCAAAACAACCATTATCATAATCCAAGTCAAGAAATGCTTTCATTCGTAAACAACGTTCACTACTATTATTATAACAACAATATGGTATTTGTTCTAATAAATCAATTAGTTTACAGATTAAATATTTATCAAACCATTGTTTTGCTGTCCATTTATCCATAGAACATAAATGACTAGATAGAAATGATTGTTCTACATTGAAAATTTGATTGGCTGATGATGTTGGCGGCGTTGGCGTTGGCGTTGAATCATCTGCTTTACACATAGATTTCATCATTTCTGATAATAATTCAAAACTATCTTGTCCAAGAATAATGGAAGCATCAATTGAAGAATTTAATGAGATGTTAGGGTTGGTAATGTTGGCTAGAGGAGTATTAGTAGTAGTGGGTGAGGATTTGACTGATTCATGTTCTGTGTGATGAGAAAATAGCAACATTTATAGCCAATAAATTGTAGACAATAGTAATATATTAGTATAGGGTTGTGGAGATTGTTGAATTCTATGGGTATTATGAACTAATCTAAGTCAGACAACCGTTGAAAACCTGAGTGTACTGGTCTGTCGCTTCGGCCTATTATGGAACTCATTCACCAGTAAGCATATATGATTGTACAGCCAAGTTTTTAGCGGTTGTTTAATTTTAAACAAGCTAACTAATTACAATGAGTTGAGTAAATTTAAGTATATATGAAACTCAGCTGAGAGTAAAAGTCTTATGAAACATTTTGAAAACGGTAGTAGAATCAGTATTTGGATTTGTAGTGAATCTATTATCGGTGTATAAATATGTTTAAGAATTCCTATAGAGTAATCAAAAACAGAGAATATTTGAATATAACATTCGCATATTCACTTTACTGTACGAACATTCCATGTACCTATAGTACCAACTGTTTTGATTTTCAGAAGGGGTATCGGCCACGTGACTTCCGACGTAACTCAGCTTTCATCATGAGGTGTTATCACTCTTCTGAATGTAGACCTTTCAACTAGCATGGCAGAGTTTAAATGGTTTGAATTACTTGTTCTGGTTAGCGTTTTTTTAGCGAGTGCATTTTCTACGGGATGGGGTCGCTAATTTTATCCCCAACCCTCCTCCTCGGGAGAAGGCAGTAACCACATAAGAGCTCCAGGCATGGTCCATATTCGCTAGCATTATCTATTTTGAACATTTCGCTACATAACACAATCCTTATGCGATTTTAACCGGTGAAGAACTCGATGACGAAGTTAGTGAAACGAATTACGTGCCTTAATGTTTTTTTTCTCGCTTGCCTAAATAAGCTGTCCTCTGCAAATATGTCATCTTTTTTGCACTGAACCATATCAGTCCTGTTACGATGTGATAAGTAGTGATTTACGCTTGATCATAAATATTCATACTAGTAAGATTATCTGTGTAACAACTCATTTGAGCTTTTGGACAAACATTAATAACTGAAGCAGCATATGACTAATGAGTTACTTTTATTATTCTAATAACTTTTCCCTCTTCATAAATGATTTCGGCTTTCAACAGATGTGTTTTTTTATTCAAGTCCTTATCATTCTGCGCTCATAGGTCTTGTGTGGATGTGTGTGTGAACTTCTTATCTTATCAGATGTGTCATTTTGATGGCACTATACATTGTAGACTTCAAGTTATATGAGGGCTGATGAAATTTTGTAGATACGTATTTCCTCTTAGCTTTTTGTCTTTACATTGATGTATGTATGTATGTATGTATGTATGTATGTATGTATGTATGTATGTATGTATGGATGTATGAAATCAATGTATCCGACGATACTGCTCTTGTATTTGACTTGTTTCATTTTATACGCAAATGCGATTATATCAGCGATAGTATACTACATTAATTAACGACTTCTATTTACACTTCTTTCTCAATGCTAAAAATACAGAGTACTTTAAATTACTGAAACCGAATTGTTAGCGTAAAAACTAATATTTCACCAAGACAAAATCTAAGAATTACAGTTCAAGTGAGCCATAATCGAGTAAGCTAGGTTCAATGTTATTTATGATGTTGCTTCGAGAGTGGCTTGCGACGGTACCTGAACTAGTGATAGGGAGTGAAGTAGTCGAAAGTGTAGACCGCTTCACTTATCTTGGGAGTTTCATCAGTGCTGATGGCCCGGTGACTGATGAAATCTCAGCACGGATACAAAAGGGTCGATTAGCTTTCGCCAGCTTGCGTCATTTATATCGTAGGCGAGATATCCGTTTGCTAACTAAAGATCGAGTCTACTGAGCAGCAGTTCACTCCGTTCTCCTTTATGGATACAAAACATGACCGGTAAGAGTGGAGGACATTCGTAAGCTATTAGTATTCGATTATGGATGTTTTCGAAGCATTGTTCGTGCATCCTGAGACAACCAAGTAAGCAATGCTGCCATTAGGAAACGATTACTAGGTAGGGATGGAAGTTCAATTGATGAAGTAGTGAAACTTCATCAGTTGAAGTGGTTGGGACATGTGTCGCGCATGTCCAACTACCGACTGCCCCCATGAGCGATGTTTTGTGGTGTAGGAGTAGGTTGGAAGAATGCCGGTGGTGACCAAAAAAAACATTACACAAATCCATGAAGTCACTAACAAGTGGACTTAATCATGTTAATAAGCGTAGACTACCTGGTTTGGGTCTGCGAGATGATAGTAACCGATGGTTAGAGATCTTGAACGACATGGTTCGAAATCGTTTGCCATGGCACAGATGCATGCATCCATCCTAAACTTCTGGATTCCTCATTACTTCTTTCTTCCTCTTTCTAAAGTTATCTCACTAAAGAATACTTCTTGGATAGTATCTTCAAACCCTAGTCTCCTCGATTACTGCTAATACTTCTACTACCTCTACCACTATAGGATTTGAATTGACAATCACGTCTCTGCGCTAATGCGATATGACAACTTGAACTTATGTACCTACGTACACAGTTCTACGTTTTAAATGACTGACCGATTATAGTGAGCAGAAATAAAAGAAAAAATACAATCATTCACTTAAAACAATTAATTAACATATATACACATTAGTTAATAAATAATTGTTACCTTTAGTAGTAAAATTTTGTATTAAAAGATTTTCAAATTCAGTAGTTGAATTACGACGATAGGCGCGAAGTAGATGACGACGCATAGTCAACCATAAATTTTCATCAGAATTTGTTTGTTTAATTATTGATAATAATAACCATGAATGAAGAAATGGTGTTAAATAATATAAAGTATTTAAATAAAGTAGTACCATATCCGGTGCAACATCATCTTTGGTATTTTGACGTGCCTAAAACAAAACACAAAGAGACAGAGAGTGTGTGGGTGTGTGTGTGTGAAAGTAGAAATACATTGGGGACGTTCGATCCCACCGAAAATCACTTGATAAAGGTCCTAATTTCGGATTTTTTTTGTGTTTTCGCGCATAAGCTGCTCAGACGACCTTGAAAGTACATTTCCCACTCGTAAAATCCTTAACTGCCATTGGTGGGTGTATTATTTTAGTATGTTATTTTTGTGGCTCTCTCAAGAACGTTTCTATCATATATATACCCGTAACAGCACACGAGACCAAATTGGTCAAAATCAAATCCTTTCTACACCCCCTAATATATAAATAAACTCAATTTGTGTGCTTGTCAACCTCAGATTTTCTTGGTGCTTGTAGAATACATTTTCTACACTATATCAAGACTTCTTCATATACTTAGTGGGGTCTTTGGAAACTCGGATTAGAGTAGCCTATCATGTCACTGGATCATTTGTCTTCGCTCTGGTTTACCGACTAAGGTGAATTCATAATAGCATTCAAGCATATCAAATGACGACCATATCAAAATAGTTAAGCAATTCATTTAGAATGGCCTTTATTCATTGGCTACTATTTTGGTGTGTGCATTTTTTTCAATAGTAGTACAATACAATATGTCTGTATAGATAAATTAAATTTGTTTGAAATGTATGTATATTTATCTTAGAGGTTGAATTGTTCAATCCTGAATTCATGGCTTGGGTATGATAGACAGGAACTTGAAAACAACAAGACAATAAGTACTTAGTTGCATCAATTCAAGGTTAATAATATGAATGTGTCTTAAGCCATTGTGACTGATGCTGAATCATATCACCGAACGTGTTCAACCGGTGATCATGGCCATTGCGTAGACCAAAACTTGGTAGTTTACATTTACACGCATGACTCAGACCAATCGTCAGTAATTTCATGAACTGATGTCTTGATTTGGCCGAGAAACAAAACATCCAGCTAAAAGAACGAAACTCTATTACAATCATCTACCTGAGCTACAAATTTTCTCCACCATCTCTAAACGATAATGTCTGTATAGATAAACTGGGATCTGGAATCATCAAACTAATTGGACACTCATACTGAAAATCCCAACACTTTGCTCTAGTCATTCAACTTGTATCACTTATGGCGTAGGCGAGATATTCGTCTACTAACCAAATGGTGAATCTATTGCGCATCAGTTGTTTTCGTCAGTAAGAGAAGAGGATATTGTAAGGTTACCAGTATTCGATCGTAGGTGTCTTCGAAGCATTGCTCGTATATCTTTGGACAACTGAGTAAGTAATGTTGATGTTAGGAAACGGGTTCTAGGTGAGAATGACAGATCAATTGATGAAGTAGTGAAACTTGATCAGTTGAGGTGATTATGAAATGTGTTATGAATGCCCAACCACCGACTGCCTTGTCGAGCTATGTTTTGCGATGTAGGAATAGGTTGAAAGAAAGTTAGGGGTAGCCAAACCAAAACATGGCAGAAATTCATGAAATCACTGACAACTTGATTGAGTCATGTTGACCGATATAGGCTACCTGGTTGGGTTCCACGAGACAACTGGACTGAGCCATGTTAGTAAGTGTTGACTATCCTGGTTGCGGTCCGCGAGATAATCGTAATCGATGGTTACAGATCATGAATTACATGGCTCAAAATTGTTTGCAATGGCGCAGGTGTATTCTTTCTTTTGTCATCTTTTAAATCCTAATCTTCTGAATTCTTCATCACTTTTATCTTTCTCTTTTTACCTTTATTTGATTAGATTATACGCCTACCCTAATCTTTTCGATCATTTCTACTACCACTATAGGAATTGAATCGACAATTGCATCTCTGTGCTACCGTGGTATGGCAACCTCAACTGATATTCGTACGTACGTCAGTCAGTCAGTTGCAACGTAGAACTTCGTACGTATGTACATAAGTTCATGTTGCCATACCAAATTATCACACAGACGCAAATGTCAAATCAAATCCCATAGTGATAAAGGTAGTAGAAAAAAAGGTTAGAAAGACAAAGGTAGACGTGCTGACTATTCCAGAAGATTAGGATTTGAGAGAGCTCAACGAATGGATCCACTTGTGCCATTGCAAACGACTCTGAGCCATGTCGTTCAAGGTCTCTAACCATTGGTGACTATCGTCTCGCGGACCCCAACCAGGTAGTCTACATCTACCAACATGACTCAGTTCACTTGTCAGTGACTTCATGGATTTCTGCCATGTTTTGGTTTGGCCGCCCCTAGCTTTCTTCCAACCTACTCCTACACCACAAAACATAGCTCGTCGAGGCAGTCGCTGGTTAGGCATTCGTAACACATGTCCCAACCACCTCAACTGATCAAGTTTCAATACTTCATCTACTGATCTGCCATCCTTACTTAGTACTCGTTTCCTAACGATAGCATTGCTTACTCGGTTGTCCCACGGTATACGAGCAATGCTTCTAAGACATCTATGATCGAATACTAGTAACCTACGAACATCTTCTAATCTTAACGGCCATGTTTCGCATCCATATAGGAGAACGGAGCGAACTGCTGCGTAGTACACCCGTCCTTTGGTCAGCGAACGGATACCGTACGTACGAAATTCTATGTTATAGCTGACTGACTGACTGACTGACTAACTCCTCTAATCACATTGTAAACATTGAATATGAAATTTTAAAACAATAAACTTACTAAAATATAATTATCAAAATGTATTAACCATGGATCAAGTAGAATTTGTTCAATTGAATCTAATTCTAAACACCATTGAGCTATAGAGGATAGAAAATAATTCATTGTAGTATGATATATAGGATTCGACAAGGATTGCACTGTTGTTGTTGATGTTGTCATTGTCGTTGTCATCGTCGTGAATGTTACCGCTGACGATGATGATGATGAGTGTTTATTTGATAAATAAAATATTTTCAATTGTTGTACATCATTAAATATATTTATTGTTTGTATAAGTAATGCATTAAGTCGACGTATAATTTGTGGCAATTTATGTGAATCTGACATGGAACTAATTAAACATGATAGAGAACGTATACTGGCTGCTAATACTGTTGGATGACGTTCTTCATCTAAACTCGATTCAATAATACTTAACATGATGGAAGATTGTAAATGCGACTGTACGAAAATAAAATCATATCATATTAATAGAAACAAAATAAAACAAAAAAATGAAGAAAGAGAAAAAGAATTATAGAGAAAAAAAAGTGAGGAAAAAAAACTGATTGACAAAATTGGACATGTTAAAATTAAATGATTAGGCGAAGATTTTTACATAGGAAGCTGTTATTTGATTGTGACCAATTTGGTCTCGTGTGCTGTTACGGGTATGAGGGCGGTTGTCACTTCCCGGCTGACCACACCGTGGAAGGTTGTTTCTAGAGGAACCTGAAAAGGAAGGTAGATTAGTGTTGGTTTTAGAGACCTGGGAGAGTGACCGCAGAGCCCAACGCACAACTGCTTCAGGTTTTTGAGTAGTAGCTCCGCTCTTGAAAGCCCTTAGTGGGCACCCTTACCCAAGGAGACGGAAATCCGTGAGGTAGGGTGAGGTGTGACATTTTTAGGGTCGACCTTTTCTAACCCTTCCTTACTTGTGAGAAGGCAGCATTGCTGCAGATGCTGGTTGTCCGAGGGAAACACCTTACTGCCGTCACACCCCTCTGCAGTCAGCAGTACGACTTCGCCCTCAAACCTTGAGTAGCTGCTTTTAGTCTGATCGTTCTCCAATCGACCTGCCTCTCATAGTAGAACCTTCATGAACATAAGTCCCAGCCAATATAGCTCGGTTTGGTCATCACGATAGGCAAGCCCGACATCCACGTCAAGGTAGCAGCTACGGTCGGGTACGTATGTAGCATAAGTTAATTATCCAACTGAGAACAATTCTATACTGGATGTGATTAAGGAAACACAATGTGCACGTACTTAGCTGATAGAAATAAACAATAGATTTGACGAGAACTAATTTCATTAGAAATATGCGCTATGTCACTACTGTAAATCAGATCAGAAGTGTGAAAAAAATTGTAGTGGTGTATCGTTCTTTGAGCTGAATGTTTTGGTTGTGGAGCTTTCATTGTTCTTCTGAACAATATCAACTGACAACTTCTGTATTATGCTCTAATATTGAAAAACATGTAGAATAATAGCTAAATCCCCTTACTTTATTTGTTACCTATTGGATAGACTGAAATATTGTATTTTATCATATAAAGAAGGTTCATGAGCAACAGATTATCATTGAACACACATAGAACTCTGAAGATTACACTTTCCGTGAACTATGGCTAAATAATCAAATGAAGACAGAGTAACAATGAGAATTAGTATATTCCCATGGGAGGAATTACTTTACTCTATACATTAACAAAAAAGGTCACCTGGAAGGTTTAAACCTAAATGATCAGTTTCTAGATTGATTTAATATTTCGAAAATGTGGTCCGATATGTGAATAGTTGTTTTGTGTAGACAATTTATTGACAACTTATTACACAAGTTGGACAGAAAGTCATTAATCTTGGGCGTATTATGATTGAAATTTGTCAACATTGTAATTACTAAACTAGATCAAAGATTTGTGTTTCCCAGAAATTCAAACATAGTTCATTTATAGAAGAACTGAAATAATCTATAATGAGAAATTGCTATCCCGCTTATGTTTACACTGCTAAGGTCAAACGCCGAAACATTTTAACTCTTTTAAAAACAAAATATATATTAACGAATTTTTAGAATGGTCTGTCTAATCTTCATATTGAGTGTTTTTTATCCTGAGAAAGTGAATCTATCGACAAACATGAACGCAGGTGTACACCCAACGAATTACCATTATATATATATACGAACCTGTAGCGGAAATCGAACCCACGACATTCGGTTTGATGTGTGACTGTTTAACCTCTTGACCACTGGACCATTATCCAATAGTGTTAATGTCTAACTTCAATTAATCCATTTCTCATGGCTTCTCGCTAGAACTCCAAGAATTTACTCACGAAACTAGTGGACCATGTTGAGTGTGAGACAGTTACCCACCGAAGACAATGGGTGGTGGTTACGTGATATCGTCGATTGGTTGACGTTAGACATTAACACCATTGGATAACGGTTCAGTGGTCAAGAGGTTAAGCATTCACGAGTGAGGTCAAATGTCCTCATTCTCCAACCGACTCAACATTGGGCCTTCTTTCCCGGTTCTATCCAATTGCCGTTCATTCTTTTCATGTGTATTTCCAATTCTCGGCATAATCTGTTCTTTTTCCTGGTGTTGAGAGTAGAGTTATGCTCCTATACTTCTTACACTTGCCGAAATCGCCTTTCTTTGTTATATTGATCAGGTGTCTTTCTTTCCAGTCTGTTGGTACTTGTTTTACATCCCAAATCTTACTGAAGGGGATGTACAGTATCTGTGCAGTTATTGCTACGTCTTCATTCAGTACCTCTGCTGGAATGTTGTCTCGTCTCGCTGCTTTACCGGCCTTGATTTGTCTGATGGCCATGCTGATCTGGTGGTCCAACATTGATTTGAAGGTGTGTGGATGCTGCTTCGATGTTGGGTAGATTCATCGGGGTTTAGCTAGAATCGACGTCGGAATAAATCTTCCGATAAGAAACGAATAAGCTTCTAGCTTGATGAATGTTTAAAAGTTGTTCGCTTTCCGTTTCTCTGATTCTTTTCTTTAGATTTCCTCATATTCTCCCTCTCAGCACACAATGTATCTACTTTCATTTGAAGGCAGGTTCATTCATCAGGTAATCACAAGCACCTAACTGAGTTTCACATTATGACAGATGAAAATATAAACCAATCATACATCATACATACATTATAATCATTGAACTAACCGGAAGATGAGGAGCAATTACACCGCATGCTGATAATAAAAGAAGTCTTTTAGATAGATCAGATATTGCACATTTATTTATTTGTAACCATAATCCTGGTAACAGTTCACCTTCCAAACGAGCAGGACCTATAAAATAAATTATAACAGAAATATTGATTAAAAAATATTGATGTACAAAACTCCGTTAAATTATATAATGACAATTTCCAACTTAACATTGCAAATGGTCATCCAAGATCACCACCACAGGTGAACGAACAAACGATGTCACTTAATGATTGTGAGAAGTTTTCTCTACTAATGACTAATAGAATTCAGCCAGTCTAAAGCGTGTAGCCAGGTTGATACAATAATCATGGTTTACTTAGGGAGTAGCAGAAATCTTATCTATATGGATATGAAGCAACGCCAGGATGTGCAGTTTAATAATAACCAGTGATCCTAGAGTCTGTGTATATCAGTGGTTTAGAATGATAGTTTTCAAACTTCTTTAAGTGAGTATTCTGCTTATAAACCTGGTGGTTTAGCGTTTGATACCCACTCCTCATGATACTCAGGCGTAACCATTCGATAGAGTTTTAAGTGAGAGTGGAAGACTTTCCACACACTCATGGTCGTACTTGGATTTACAGTCTGAGGAGTAACCGATGACCTATTTGAACGCCAACCGACTTATTATAAGACTGAAATATATATGTATACTGATCGATCACTAGGTAATGAATGGGTTAATGTCATGTTCATATAATGATTAGTGCTAACCGAATTGTATCAATCAAGTTGCAAACGGCAGCTACTCTAAATGACTCAATATTGGTTACAGTACGCTTCGATGTTAGGTGATTGGATACGATCGGTAGGAAACGATTTACTTAGATTATTGACCACACACTGTAACTTGATCGAGAAAATCCGATCCGCACAAAAAGGAAATTTGTCCCCAATCAATGAGCAATCAATGTAAGCATGGCGCCAGTGCATTTATTCTTTGTGTTCTCTCAAATCCTAATCTTCTGGGTTCTTCAACACCTCTAGTTTTTACTTTCTAAACTTATCTCACTGAATCATACTTCGTGAATAATATCTTCTAATCCTAACCTCTCCGACTACTTCTAATACCTTTACTACCTCTTCTACTATTGGATTTGAATTGACAATTATATCTCTGTGCTGACGTGGTATGGCAACATGAACTGATGTACTTACGTACGAAGTTCTACGTTGCAACTGACTGTAAGCATGGCGATAATTACTATTACCAAGTGACTAAAAAAGATTCAGGTGATTTTTTTTCAATTTGATCTACAATTTCCATTCATTCAGTCAGTCAGCTACAACGCAGAACTTCGTACGTACATACACCGCTTCAAGTCGCCATAACACATGAGCACAAAGAGACTCAACTGACATTACAAATCCCATAGTGGTAGACGTAATAGAAGAAGAAGTATTAATAGAGAAGATTATGGTTCGAAGATATTATTCAAGAAGAAGAATACAGTAAAATGAACTTAAAAAGAAAAAGATAAAGGTGCTAAAGAATCCAGAGGATTGGGATTTGAGAGAGCACAAAGAGTGGATGCACCTGCGCCACTGCAAACGACTTTGAGCCATGTCACTCAATGTATTTAGATATCAATTGCTAATATTTCACGGACTCCAATCTGGCAATCTACACTTCCAGAATGACTCAGTCCACTTGTCAATGACTTAATGGATTTCTGCCATGTTTTGGTCTAGCCTTAGTCGATAAAAGCGAAGGAGACAACGAACCAGCATCCATGTAGGCTATCTCGATCCGAAAACGGCAAAAGAAAAGTCTAGATAAGCGTAAAAAGTATATTCTACAAACACCCAGCAAGCACAATGCAATCAAGCTAACTAATTTCGTTTATTTATACATCATAGAAACGTCCTTGGGACAATCACAAAAATAGCACACTAAAATACACAGCAGCCAATCACAGCCATGGATTTTCCTGGTGGGAAATGAAATCTCAAGGTCAACTAATCAGCCAATGCTCCCAAACATGAAATCCAAAATTAAAGCACTTATCAAGCGAGTTCTGGGGATCTCACGTCTCTAACAGTTGTATCAAACAACAAAATCAATTAAACATTACTTTACTTACCTAAATATGAAGCTAATAATCGTAAAGCATTTAATATATGCTTAGAGAATTCATCATGATTTATTTGACCAATTGAATCACCACCACCAGTATTCATTTTAATAAGACTTGGTGAATGCATAAAATCCATTGAGATTTTATGCTCAATTGATGAGGATGATATTGATGTGGTAGTGGAGGATGAGGTAGATGATGAAAGAAGATCAAATAATAAGCATAGAAATTGATCACGTACTGATGCATTAGAATGTAAACAAATAATTTGAACTAATAAAGGAAGAAATATCTGCACAAAAAAAAAATTGAGCAAAACAAGATGAGATGAAAAGTGTTCGGTTTTTTTTCTTGTAGAATTAAACGAAAAAGCTTAACATAAAACGTACATGATAAGAAATATTGATTTCCTTTTTTTAAATTATGAATCGATCAATGTTAGACTACCACCATTAGAAACCTGGAAGCACGGTGGAGTTCGACCCTGTTCGGGTGTGAAGCAGTGCTCACCGAAGATAGTGTATGAAGTTGCCAAGACCGTGAATTGATTGCAGTTAGACATTACCACCGTTTAATGTCGGCTCAGTTGTCAAGAGGTTCACACACAAGACCGAAGGTCTTGGGTTCGAATCCGGTGAGTTGCAGGAGTCGCGGATGCGCACTGCTGATGAGTCCCTATACCAGGACAAAACGGCCGTCTTTCAGTGCTTGCAGGTTCCTAATAGTGGTCTATCATTGATCGATTTATGATTCTAAAAAGTAACTCAACAATCTCTATAACCCCACACCGAAATAGCGATTCCATGCAGACTGTTAGGCTTTTATAGTACGAAGTTAACACAGCAAGAACGACTCGCAAAACGCCCGTGTATCTGGTTTTAAGTAGATTTTGTTGAGTTTGTAATGAAAGAAAGATTCAATAGTTTTTATCGATCTTGGTTAAATACTGTATCAATCATCTTAGTTTCTGTAACTTTGTATGTATAACCGTATTTGTATTCGATATGGCTGTTTTATACCTATTGCTTGTACAAAACATTACTGTCATTGGCTACGGCGTGAGAAAAAATACAGCAGGCTTCCGAATGGTATCTATCTGCATTAGTGACCACAAAACTGACGGTACAAACCTCAAATGTTGCATACGTTTTAGGCTTGATGACTCTCTTTTGGTTGTCTACCATTTATTACTTGTTTGACCATGAATAATATCATTGAAACTGAGTACATGAACCAATCGGTTCAGATCATTGAGCTGAATGGTTCTGTTGAACTCAACGTATCTTACCATTCATTTAGTAAAGTTAATTCTAGATATTAGTTTACTCAGAATGAAGTTCATCCTCCTCGCCTGAACGTGTTCCAACAAAACGAAACAGTTAACTATGCCATATCAATTTCATAAAGCATTCTTGAATGAGATGCAAATGTAAATATTTCCAACATTAACGAGACAGATTATGCGAGCATTTAGTCAGCCTTTGTATTTAGAAAAGTTTGTCTTATCATATATCATATAGCATATCACAAATTATATTCGCATCCATGAGTGTTACACAGCATGGTGACATTCCGATAAGTTTCATTCTGTTATCAATTGCACTTATTGCAAACCAACATGTGGATTGCAGCATCAGTTTTCCTATGCGCTAGTTCATACTTTTCCAGAGAAAATAGCAGGAGTGTAGAAAAACTAAAGGTTCGTTGCTCTACTACTAGGAACGAAAATAATAAAGGTGAGGTGAGGCATATTATTTTTAGGAGCAACTTTTTCTAACCATCTCCTTCAATTTTTAGAAGACGAAATCGCTGAAGATACTAGTCGTTTAATGAAAACACTTTAGTGCTGTTTATTAGTATCTACTTAAGCCTATTACTCCGAATGTAGCATAAGCTGCCGACCAACATTCTCCAACCTACTCTGTCCTGAGCCTTCTTTTCCAAGTTCTATCCAATTCCTGTTGATTTTTCTCATGTCTGCTTCCATTTCTCGAGTTAATGCATTCATTGGTCTTCTTCTTCATCTCCTTTGGTTTTGAGGAGTTCAAGTGAGAGCTTGCCTCACTCAATGTATGTCCTATCCACTACCAATTTACTGTTGTTACACTTCAATAAATCCGACAACATAACTTAGCCCTCAGACCTTAACAGATTATTTTTAATCATACCGTTTTCCAACTAACATGGCACCAATGGTAGGACTTAAAAGAATAAGTATTTTCTCCAATATCCATTAATTCCGTGATCGTAATAAGCAAGCCCGATTATTAACCTCAAGGTTGCAACTATGAATGGTTGTTAGTTGGATTTCTAACGTTCAAAATTAAGACTGGAACAATAAGACGCCATTTCATCTCCCTTCTCCAATAATTGGATCTAAATCCTAATGATTAGCCTAAATATGTTGCACCAACCATCTTTTTTGTTCAATAAATCTTGATTTATAGGGAGCGGTTACAGTAACGATTAACATTTTACATAGAAATTTTTCTACTTCATATTTGAAGTCATCACAACAAAATATCAACTGACAAGTCTTTGAAAACCATTGAGCATAGTAGAAAGTTGTTTCATCCACGTTCTATGAGTTATCACCAATGTGCACACAACCTTCAATCATCCTTTAGAGGATCATAGTGAGAATGATATTGTTTCAAACTACACACATATACGGTATTATGCGTTTTTAGCCTACTCAGTCAACAAATGTGTTAGGATATTCATCCAATATCCTAAGAGAATTATTGGTCAAATCCTATTGGTCCATTTCCATTGGTCAAAATCATGATCGTTTTAACTGTTAAAGTCAAATACTTCAATAATGTCTCCTATTGGTCATCCAGACTATCAATGTCATTTCAAATGTTACTTCCTATTGGTCGTCTTAACTGTCAATGCCACAGAATTCAATGCTGTTTCCTATTCGACCAATTTGTAACGTTTTATGACCACGACCAGGGATCGATCCTGGATCCCTAGTCCGGGATCCTGATTCTCTTCTGGATTCGGACCTCGTACTTTCTGGATGCTTGTAGAATACATGTTCTACTTCATATCACGTCTTCTTATTTTTTTACTAAATATGGGGGGGGGGGGTCGGGATAATCCGATTTGAGTAGCATATCGTGTCGCCGGATTCTTGATCCTCGCTCTCGTTTTCCGACTAAGGTAAACTCGTAATAGTTCAAGTATATCGAGCTGACGTGTTTACGTGCAGGCCAAGAAAAAAATACACAATGAAGATATATATGTAAATCTGTTATGAACACGATTTACTTACTAATTTGCCTTTATCAATTAAATATGGTAAAATTTTTTCAATATATTGAGCTGAAAATATGACAAATTCATCTAATGAATCGGTTAAATGAAAATTATGATTCATTTCATTCAGCATTAAATCATCATCCGGTAATAAATGAGCAATATATTTAGAAAATTCTTTAGATAATTTACTTTAAAGAAAATAAAATGAGAGAATAAAAAAAAGAGAGAAACATTCAGTGAACAGCAAAATGAATACAGTATGATAAGAATGAACCAACAAACTTCAATAACTCTTTAACAGTAATACAACAAATCATAATCAGATCGATAATGTAATGACACTGAAGTCATCAATCAATCAATCAATCATTGTTTGACCACCATTAGAAATATGGAAGCACTGGACGGCCGTTTCGTCCTAGTATGGAACTCCTCAGCAGTGCACATCCACGACTCCTGCTCCTCGCAGGATTCGAACCCGGGGCCTTTGGCATTGTAGGCGAACGCTTTACCATCGGACCACTGGGCCGCAAACCTCCAAAACTGTGCCCCAAAATATCGTAACAGTTTTCACTAGTGACTAGCTTCGTGAGGAAATTCTCGGAGTTCTAGTTGAGAAGACGTGATCAGTGGAGTTCAACCCTGTCGGGTGTAGGCAGTAACTACCAAAGACAAATGGGTGAGGTCGCGCAAAATCCCTAGATCAATCAGAGTTAGACATTAACACAGTTGGATGCCGGCCCAGTGGTCCGATGGTAAGGCGTTCGCGCACAATACCGAAGGTCCCGGGTTCGAATCCTGCGAGGAGCAGGAGTCACGGATGCGCACTGCTGAGGAGTCCCATACTAGGACGAAACGGCCGTCCAATGCTTTCAGGTTTCTAATGGTGGTCTAACAATGATTGATTGATGATTTCGAATGTGTAAAAATCATAATCAGACAAGACAATAAATAAATTTTTTCAATTAGAATTATGGAGATTAGTGTTGTTGTACATTGAAATAATCAGTCGATCAATCATTAGAAACATGGTATGAGACTCATCAGCGGTGCTCGTCAACGACTCCTGTACCTCGCACGATTCGAACCCAGAAGCTTCGGTCTTGCACGTGAACGCCTAACCACTGGGTCGGCATCCAACAGTGTTAATGTCTAACTCTGATCAATCTATAGAATTTGAGCGACCTCATCCATTTGTCTTTGGTAGTTACTGCCAACACCCGACAGGGTTGAGCTCCACTAGTCACGTCTTCTCACTTGAACTCTGAGAATTCCCTCACGAAGCTAATCACTAGTGAGCACATTTTATGGAGATTAGTGTCACTTATTGCTTAGTGTTGCGGCTTGAGACGCGAGTAAATATCACATGTTACAGAAAACAATCTGGATTATAATTAACATTTCTCTATTCCCAGTCTATTAATTCTTCTTGGTGGGGAACGTTAGATCCCCAGAACTCATTTGATAAAGGTTCGAATTTCATATTTTTTGTGTTTTCACGCATAAGCTGCTCAGTTGACCTTGAGATTACATTTCCCACTCGCAAAATCCTTGTCTGTCACTGGTGGATGTATTATTTTAGTACGTTAATTTTGTAGCTCTCCTAAGGACGTTTCTATCATGTATAAATACAGTCGGTTTGTGTGCTTGTCAACCTCATATTTTCTAGGTGTTTGTAGAATACACTTTCTACGCCTTATCAATACTTCTTACTATAATTAGCAAGGCCAGGTCAAGCAAGAAATAATTATAACACTGAGTTCATTGATTGTGCTACATAATTTCCAGCTTCAATTTGCTGCAGTATTTAGTCAACATGTCAATAAATATGAATGACTTTTTCGCCTACAATTTAATAAACTTTATACATATCGTAATTTCCTACCATAACTTTGATACAAACCGTCTGTAATATCAGGTCTTAACTACACAGAATGTAACCCAAAATCAAAAATGTGTCATAATTCTCTCTTTATTACAACCCAGTTATTCCTAGTATTCTCGGACACCAATTCACTCGAAACGTTCTCCCAAATCAGAACACGGTTGAACAGGGAAAGAGATTATAATCCAATAACAAGGTTAGACGGTAGACAGAAATGTCCAAAACATTATAGTATACTTAAAGTTTTTGCACGAGAAGATTCTAGAATGTTCCCTCAGTATCGGTTAGCGCTGATTGGATACAAAAGAGCCAATCAGAGTGCAACAACGCAATCATGCATTAATCTAATCTATGTCCCGTTAACAGTTATTGAATATAATAACAAATTAAAAAATAAAAAAACAATCTCTATATCATTTAAAAGTACAGAAATAAATCTATTGATAAAAATAATAATAATAATAATAATAATAATAATAATAATAATAATAGTGAAAAACAGGTGCATCAATAAAGCAATAAAAGCCAATTTTATTGATTTTCAATGAAATCCTAAATAGTTTTATATCATTGGTCGGAGTCAATCGGAGTGAAACTGCTGATAAGCAGAAAGTAATAAGAGAGCTGTTTTGTACTACTTTGCAGCTGAATAAGTCTATTAGTTATTTAGTTAAGAACACTATAGAATCTTTCACAAAACATATCAACACAATGAGATGAAATTATCCACACAAATGCAATAGTAGTAGCAGTAGTAGTATGGATAGAGACATGGATAAAATAGGATTCTAGAAGAAATAAAGAATTTACGGACTAGTCAGTCAGTCAGTCAGTTGCAACATAGAACTTCGTACGTATGTAGATAAGTTCATGTTGCCATACCCGACCGAAGCTGCTACCTTGACGTGGTGGTCGGCTTTGCCTATCGTGATGACCCAACCGAGCTATATTGGCTGGGACATATGTTCCTGAAGGTTCTACTATGCCAGGCAGGTCGATTGGAGAACGATGAGACTAAAAGCAGCTACTCAAGGTTTGAGGGCCAAGTCGTACTGCTGACTGACTGTGGAGGGGTGTGACAGCAGTAAGGTGTTTCCCTCAGACAACCAGCATCTGTAGCGATGCTGCCTTCTCACAAGGAAGGAAGAGTTAGAAAACGTCGACGCCAAAAATGTCACACCTCACCCTACCTCACGGATTTCCGTCTCCGGCGGTAAGGGTGCCCACTAAGGGTCTTTAAGAGCGGAGCTAATACTCAAAAAACCATTCATAAAAAGGCCGTGCGTGACCGGCCTCAAGTAGTTGTCCCTTGGGCTCTACGGTCACGCTCGCAGGTCGTTCAGACCAACGCTAATCTACCTTCCTTTTCAGGTTCCTCAAGAAAAAACCGTCCACGGTGTGGGCATCCAGGAAGTGACAACCGCCCTCATACCCGTAACAGCACACGAGACCAAATTGGTCGAAATCAAATCCTTCCTACACCCCATAATACCCGTATGGAATAGAAAAGTATAAGATAATTCTAAAATTAAAGAACTTGCACCCGATTCTGAGCAATTCGCCTCAACGCCCCCAACCAAATGTTACTGTAATGGTATGAATACAAACCAGATAATCTAGACCTGATCCAGTTCAACACTAAATGACTTGATGTGCTAATCCCATGTCTTTTTTTTAATATTCCCTATTTTTATTTCAACTTCTTGCCACACCATTTAGCATTGAGTATCGAGTTAGGGGGTTGCTAAGCGTATGTAATACGTATCCTAATTTTACCCCAGCCGATAAACATTCACTACTTAATCAAGTGTGTTTAATTAGGTAGCGTGAATTCAAAGACTTAACTAATCACTAAGTTTTAAATAGTCATCCAGTTAGTCAGCTATAACGAAGGACTTTGTACTTTTGTCCACCACTTCAAGTCGCCAAACAACATTAGCACAGAGAGATCGAATTGTCGAGCCGAATCTCATAGTAGGAGAGACAGTAGTAGTATTAGCGGTAATGGAGATTATGGATCGAAGATATGATTCGAAAAGTATTATACTGTGAAATAAATTTAAGAGAAGATAAGAAAAGGTCCTGACCTCATGCGGTCACAATGATGCATCTGCGCCATTTCAAATCATTTTGAGCCATGTCACTCAAAGTATTTAAATATCGATTACTAATGGCTCACGGACTCCAATCTGGCAGTCCACACTTACAGCATGACTCAGTCCACTTATCAGTGATTTCACGGATTTCTGATATTTTTTGGTTTGGCCACCCCTAGCTTTCTTCCAGCCTACTTCTACAATTGACAACATCGCTACCAGGTTGGGGTCCGCGAGACGAAAGTCAACAATGGTTAGAGACCTTGAACGACATGGCTCAAAATCGTTTGCAATGGCGCAAGTACATCCATTCTTTGAGCTCTCTCAAATCCTAATCTTCTGGAATCGTCTGCGTCTCTACCTTTGTCTTTCTAATCTTATCTCACTGAATTATACTTCTTGAATAATATCTTCAAACCCTAGTCTTCTTCATTTCTATTAATACCTCTACTATCTTTATCGCTATGGTATTTGATTTGACATTTGCGTCTGTGTGCTAATGTGGTATGGCAACATGAAGTGATGTACTTACGTACGAAGTTCTGGGTTGCATCTGACTGACTGGATGACAACATCGCTCGTCAAGGCAGTCGGCGGTTTGGCATTCGTAACACATGTCCCAACCACGTCAACCGATGAAGTTTTAATACTTCATAAATTGATCTGCCATCCTTACCTATTACCCTTTTCCAAGACATAAATAAGAATAAGCATACATGACGTAACACACAAGCACACTAAGATCATTATTTAAACCACTAAACTGTTTCGATTGGTCATAAGCAACACGCAATCTGACATATATATGCGAGTTGACTCAAATTGACATACTACGTTAGCACACTGAAATAAAACTATCCAGAAAAATCACCAAGTAAAACAAATTAACTCACCGACGAGATTTATCAGTTCGATCGGGAAAACCATATTTTTCAGGAGAAGAATATGAAACACTGTCATTATCACTGAGATTTGATTGGTCATTGCATTCATCATCTGAATCATTCACCTTCACTACAGTAGTGTTTGCATTTTTTGTAGTAGTATGTTTAGTTAATAGAGTTTTATCTATCATTTCAATGTGTTCACTAATGAAATTTAAAAAAAAAGATACATACATTTTGAATAAATGATATTGTGGTGCTGTGGTGCGAGCTGCTTATAAGTAGTATATGACGTGAGCGTCAACGTAATGTCTGGCAGCAGAATATGGGGGAAGATCAAGAAAGGAAGAGTTTGAAGAACACAATGGAATTTGTATGAAACGCATGAATAGTGACAATGGATTGATGGTTTGCAACAGGAACAGTCCAGTTCGATATGATGAACTGTTATTTTGCAAATGAACGATTTACGATATGGTTTTCCAATTTTACTTAGTAACTCTGTAATTTTCGTTAAATACAATTCGGTTGCCCCACCTGTGTTCTCGTTCACTACAGTAGCATTATAGTGTAAATTGATTGAGGTTTGAATTCAACTGCCAGATGCCGGTCATGTAGTTACTGTGAGACCAGTATGTTTGGGGATAGATCCCCGGTGTGATTACAGATGCGCACAACTAACAGGTTTCATATTAAGACGAAACAGTTGCCCAATATCCCTGGTTTCTAAACGTACTCCGAATAAGATCAATCTTTAACAAATACTACCTGCAAATCAAATCCTTCCAAATAAATCGAATATTTGCCCGACTAATTAAACTATTTTCTGACATCAACTAAGATTCTAACTACATTTGAAGGAAAATCTGATTAGCGAAAAGGTTGCTTTATATAAGTCTATTACTCTACTGACATTAACCGAAGAATGATAAACATCAAAAAAATTTTATACGCTTGTTACCTGAAGATACGATGAGTCACTTGAAAGGCAAACTATTAATTGCGTAAGAAGCATGAAATCAACAAAGCGAATTTGCTATTCACCAATAGAGGAGGTCTCTGAGCAAGTCAGTCAGTCAGTTGCAACGTAGAACTTCGTACGTATGTACATAAGTTCATGTTGCCATACCACATTAGCAAAGAGACACAAAGGTCAAATCAAATACCATAGTGATATAGATAGTAGAGGTATTAATAGAAATGAAGAAGACTACGGTTTGAAAATATTATTCAAGAAGTATAATTCTGTGAGATAAGGTTAGAAAGACAAAGGTACAGGTGCTGACGATTCCAGAAGATAAGGATTTGAGAGAGCTCAAAGAATGGATGCACTTGCGCCATTGCAAACGATTTTGAGCCATGTCGTTCAAGGTCTCTAACCATTGTTGACTTTCGTCTCGCGGACCCCAATCAGGTAGTCTACATTTACCAACATGACTCAGTCCACTTGTCAGTGACTTCATGGATTCGTGCCAGGTTTTGGTCTGACCGCCCCTAGCTTTTTTCCAACCTACTCCCACGCCACAAAACATAGCTCGTCGAGGCAGTCGATGGTTAGCCATTCGTAACACATGTCCCAACCACCTTAACTGGTGAAGTTTCACCACTTCATCTATTGATCTGCCATCCTTACCTAGCAAATAGATTATCATTTAAATAATATGATATGACGTTTAGTGTAAACAAAACAAAGGGAGTATTCAAATCTTAGACTGCCGAGTGAAGCAAATTCTAGGAAAGAATCTATCCACTTTTGGCACTCATATTAAACTATGATCAATCGGAAAGACGAAAAAAGTTTCAATCTATCACAACTTAGAGCACAGATATCAATTAACTAAATGATCAGAGATCAAGCTATGTGCCTATAATGATTATATAACTAGCTGTTGAGGACAATCGATTAGGAATAAAGAAGGCTTGATCAATTCGGTAGAAAATATCAGCCCAAATAATTTTATTCAGTAAAAAGTAAACAAAGACCATTAATAAAATCATTGTTTAACATTTTTTGAAACCATGAATCGATCAATGTTAGACCAACCTTAGAAACCTGGAAGCACTGGACGGCTGTTTCGTCCTGGTATGGGACTCCTCAACAGTGCGAATCCACGACTCCTGCACCCTGCAGGATTCGAACCCAGGACCTTCGGTATTGTGCGCGAACGCCCTAACCGTCAGACCACTGAGCCGGTACCTAACGGTGTGAATGTCTAACTTGATCAATTCACGGAGTTGCGCAACCTCATACACAGTCTTCGGTGGACACTGCCTACACCCGAACAGGTTGAACTTCACTGGTCACGTCTTCCCACTAGATCTCGGAGAAGATTCCTCACGAAGCTAGTCACTAGTGAGCACAGGTAATTTGCATTACGGAGTTGTGAAGATTGTTAAGCCTGTTCTCCGCAGGATTCGAACCCAGGACCTTCGGTACTAGGACGAAACAGCCGTCCAGTGCTTCCAGGTTTCTAATGGTGGTGTAACATTGATCGATTCATGGTTTCAAAAAATGTGTAACTTAACAATCTTCACAACCTCGTAATGCATATTTGTTTAACACCATCTAATAAAGTGGGTTTGGTTAACTACACACATTACAAACAACAGCGTGATATCATTCACGTGAAAATACACAAGATTAACTAGCGGAAATTACTTATATCATATCAATTATACAACGTACCGTTTAAGACAGATTAGTTTATTATGTAAATCTTTGATTTTTTGTGAAGCTGTTGAATATTGTACCTCTAAATGATTGATTTTGGATTTTAACGATGAAATCTCTTCATTCTAAAAATTGTATTATATAATTAGAAATGAAAAAATATACTTTTTAAGGTAAAGTAGAAACTTAATAAGTTAAGATAGAACAATAGAACAAACGATAAAGCAACAAAAAAGCTGTTCGCTCTGTCATACTATACGGATGCGAAACATGGCCGTTCAGAGTAGATGTTCGTAGGTTACTAGTATTCGATTATACATATCTTCGGAGCATTGCTCTTATATCCTGGGACAACCGAGTAAGTAATGCTATCGTTAGGAAACGAGTACTAGGTAGGGATGATAGATCAACTGAAGTATTGACACTTCATCGTTTGAGGTGGTTGGGACATGTGTTACGAATACCCAACCGCCGACTGCCTCGATGAGCTTTGTTTTGTGGTGTAGGAGTAGGTTGGAAGAGAGCTAGGGGCGGCCAAACCAAAACACGGCAGAAATCCATGAAGTCACTGACAACTTGATTGAGTCATATTGACCAATATAGGCTACCTGGTTGGGTTCCATGAGATGAAAGTCACAGATGGTTAGAGACCTTGAATGACATGGCTCAAAATCGTTTGCAATGGCGCAGGTCCATCCACTCTTTGTGTTCTCTCAAATTCTAATCTTCTGAATTCCCCATCATCTTTGTCTTTCTCCTTCTAAATTTATCTCAGCGAATTATACTTCTCGAATCATATCTTCGATCCCTAATCTTCTTCATTACTGCTAATACTTCTACTATCTCTACCACTATTGGATTTGAACTGACAGTTGCGTCTCTGTCCTGATGGGGTATGGCAACCTGAACTTATGTACTCATGTACAAAGTTCTACGTTGTGACTGACTGAGAAATCAACCACACTACGATACAAAGATTACGAATTTTTTTGATAAATTCAAGAATCAAGTTCAAGCTAGATAAAAATCTCTTTGAAATTAGAATATACCGTTAGCTGACTATTGACTAATAGTCCAACTTGATCGATGGAAACCAATCAGTAGTAAGGATTGAATATTAATGACAATGGTTACTATTCAATGACAAATCGATTTGTTTTTGATAGGCCAACCGAAATTGGTAAATTACTCAAGACCATTTTCCGATTTTTAAATTTATTTGACTGTGATATACTTCTCGAATCATATTTTCGATCACTAATCTTTTCGATTACCATTAATACTTCTACTACCTCTACCACTATGGGATTTGAATCGATCTCGCTATGCTAATGTGATGTACAAACGTACAAAGTACTGCGTTGTAGCTGACTGACTGACTAAGATCTATGAGAATGCTAAACAGTTATACTACAGATAGATTTCAACCTCATTTATGTATATACATACAGTATTCACTGTGGTTTGGAAGATAAACGCAGGTATACTTTAATGTTTTTCTAAAATTGCATACACTATATCATCGTCGCACAACCGATTAACACTGAAGGTTTGATAGTGATTATCTTATTCAAAATAAACTGATGAAAATGGGTTAAACCGTGAGTTCCAAATTAAAAGTTTTAATTGTATGAAATTTATACCATTATATTTTCATGAATTAAAAGGTAACAAATACACCATACTACTAATGAGTAGTTTGGATCTAGCTAATGGAATTGCTATGTATGTACATATCGCCAAAATTAACATCAAGCATTGATTAACTTTCACCATGGACAGTAAGTAGATGACCCAACGATCAATTACTTACGATTCTGACGAAATCTTTAGACAATTATAGATAGTGTAAAGCCAAAAAACGGATATAAATTTTCAATTCCATATGTCTGGAACAAGGCGAAGGAGCAGTTTTGAAATGAGGGAAAGCAATACTACCAGGTGACTTGAATCATTATAGTCAAAGAACAGAGTTTGAATGTGAGACTCATTAGTTGAAAGTTAAATATATCAATTATCAAGTAATAAGCGGCAAATAGCTTTACCACGACTCAGTAGGTAATCTTATGTTGACTGTCAATCTTTTTCAGTGTACATATTTCTAACTAATTACTGAACTATTCTCAGGTCACAAACAGGATACTCACACTCGTTAGTTAATACTGGGCAGTAACCAATATTAGATTGTTTGAATCTAAAAAAAATGACCGAAATTCCACTGGCACTGACTGATCTTCATTCCAATCTCAGTGAGAAACTCAGTCAGTCAGTCAGATGCAACGTAGAACTTTGGACGCAAGTACATCAGTTCATGTTGCCATAACCTTATCAGCGCAGAGATATAATTGTCAATTCCAATCCAATAGTAGAAAAGGTAGTAAAGGTATTCGAAGTAATCCGAGAGGTTAGGATTAGAAGATATTTTTCAAGAAGTATGATTCAGTGAGAAAAGTTTAAAAAGTCAAAACTAGAGGTGTTGAAGAATCCAGAAGATTAGGATTTCAGAGAACACAAAGGATAAATGCACCGGTGCCATTGCAAAAGGTTTTGAGCCATGTCATTCAATGTCTCTAACCATCGGTTACTATCATGTCGCGGACCCCAACCAGGTAGTCGAGAACTACTGACATGGCTCAGTTCACTTGTCAATGACTTCATGGATTTCTGCCATGTTTTGGTTTGGCTGCCCCTAACTTTCTTCCAACCTATTCCTACACTAAAAAACAAAGCTCGACGAGGCAGTCGGTGGTTGGACATACGCAATACATGTCCCAACCACCTCAACTGATGAAGTCTCATTACTTCATCTATTGATCTGCCATTCTTACCTAGCACCCGATTCCTAATAGCAGCGTTGCTCACTCGGGTGTCCCAGGATATAAGAGCAATGCTTCGAAGACACCTATGATCGAAAACCAGTAACCTACGAATATCTTCTACTCTCACTGGCCATGTTTCACGGCCATAAAGTAAGACGGAACGAACCACTGCGCAGTACACTCGCCGTTTAGTCAGCAAACGGATATCTCGCCTACGCTATAAGTGACGCAGGTTGGCAACTGAGAAACTGCAAATACGCTTTGTTCACAAGTGTCGACTTGAGTGAAATCTAGGTGGTACAAAGTGGTTCTCTCGATTACCTTCAATTAATTAGTGTCCAATATAGGTGGACCTTAATGTTAAGTCACTTAAACTAAATGGACACACTTCATAACTTTTAATCAATAAAATATAATTAGCAGTATTGATAAATTTAGTAACTAGATCTAAACCCAATACATAATCATTTTATAAAGCTTCTTATCATCAGATAATTAGGACAATTTTACTACTATAACTATCAACAATATGAAAACAGAAGCCAAAATACAGTGTTTGAGAGTTATGATATTTGAAACACACTGCTGTAATGACACAATGAAAGTGTACAGGTTAAAAAGTAAAGGAAATGTGTGTGTGTTACTGTTGGAAGAAGTAAATGAATAAAAAATAACTCTTAGACTTAATACAATAAGATAGTCAAATAATTAAACAGTCATTTATATAACTAATTATATGACTAAATATAAAACAACGGACATGATAGAAATGATACATTTACTTATCACACGACTGTCTCACTTTATTTATTACTAGTTCGAACAAGTATAAGCTTGTATAAACTTGTCCTATCTCAGTTGTTCATTACAATATACTTACTTATATGCTTAAGCAGATAAATGTTCTCCTTATGGTTAAGACAATATGGATAAGATTGACAATTAAAATGAGTTATTCACACATTTTTTTAAATGATAGTATCTCCCAAAAGTGTTTAATGGACTGAGATCTGACTGCAATTCGGACGAATGACTGATATATGTTAGGAAATAGATCTTCGCTCCAAGTTACATGTATCGTACTTAGCTGAACCTCGTTACTAAGAAGCCAAATATGGATTTAGTTAGATAAGTTTATTTCAATGCAATCGTCTATACAGACAGACATAAGGATATAAAAAGCGTTCAACCAAGACGAAGTGAACTGGAGGAAGGTGACGGAGTCAACTCAATCAGAGATAAGGTATGAGACTAGTAGTGATAGTCAGACAAAAAGAGGCCACACATGTGGCAAGCAAAGTAAACATGCACACAGACACACACACACATTCAAATGAAAACAAGATCGAAAGGCACGTGATTAATGACATGAGAAGAATGGATTGACTGGTTTGTCCAACGGCTTGGACAACCCCAATGAGCTCAACAAATTTTTACACTATACACTACAAGTGTTTAGATAGTTGAATAATAATATTTAAGAGTATTTGAAGAAATAATATGAGTGAATCTCATTATTCCTTATTCTTAATATAATAACGTCAAACTGATAGATCTGTTGTAGAATTATACATACAAACATGCTTCGTTAATTCAAACATTTTAAGAATAAATGGTAAATAAAGTTACAGAAAAAATTGAACTACTCACAATTACACCTGACTAAGTGGATAGATAGATTTAAAGGTTAGTGAGTCAGTTAGTTACAACGTAGAACTTCGTACGTAAGTACATCAGTTCAAGTTACCATACCGCATTAGCACAGAGACACAACCGTAAGATCAAATCACATAGTGGTAGAAATAGTAGAAGTATTAGCAGTAATGGAGAAGCGAAGATATAACTCAAGAAGCATAATTCTGTGAGTTTGTTTTAGAGGGAGAAAGATAGAGATGATGAGGTAATCAGAAGCTTAGAATTTGAGAGAACACAAAGAGTGGATGTACCTGCGCCACTGCAAACGATTTTGAGCCATGTCCGTTCAAGGTGTCTGATAATCGGTTACTTTCGTCTCGCCGACCCAAACTAGGTAGCCTACATTTAACAACATGACTCAGTCCACTTGTCCGTGACTTCATGAATTTCTGCCATGTTTTGGTTTGGCCGCCCCTAACTTTCTTCCAACATACTCCTACACCACAAAACATAGCTCGTCGTCCCAACCACCTCAACTGATGAAGTTTCATTACTTCATCTTTTGATCTGCCATCCATACCTAGTACTCGTTTCCTAACGACAGCATTGCTTACTCGGTTGTCCCGGGATGTACGAATAATGCTTCGAAGACACCTATGATCGAATATCTCTTCTCAGACTGGCCATGTTTCGCATCCGTATAGTAGGCCAAGGCGAATTGCTGCGCAGTACGCATTACGATTTTAAGGTGTCAAAAGTTTCATTACAAACTACGAGTGTTATTATTGAAACAGGATATCATTCATAAGTAGAATTTCCCTGCATTTGTTAAACAGTTTAAGTTGTCACATCATAGCAGCACAAAAGATACAGAGACGTTGTAGATGTTGATTATCTAAAGGAAACATCTTATAACAGTCACACATCTTATCCAGTATAGTTAGCAGTATAACTTTACCTTCGATCAACCTATCTACTGTGATAGAATCTAAAAGAACAAGTGTACTAGTAAACGTAACTCGATTTCGGTTCATCACGCTCAACTATGACGTTAAACTAATTGCTACAGTCGGGTGAATAAGTTATAGGATTTAGGAAAAAAAAGCCTAATATTGATTCAGTTTTATTTCACTTCAATCATTTAATTTGCTATACACAATGAGAACTAACTTTCAATATATTTGATGAGTACTTTTAAGGTATGTAAATTGTTAGTCGCTAAAAGACCTACCTGAAAAAAAAGTATGCATACTTTAAAAAAAATACAATATCTGCACGATGAAATATTACAACTTTTTATATCCATGTGAATACAAAACTATAGATAGTTGAAGAATAGTCTGTTATCTCGGCATCAAATACTCTCTATACTAGGATGGGAAAGCACACTTACAATACTGTTTTAGGATTGATTTCAGATTAAACTGCTCGTGATATTCGTTATATATATATATAGAGAGAGATTGTTGTTATTCATGTGAAATCATCAATCGATCGTTATTAGACCACCATTAGAAACCTG